AGGGAAGTTATTTTTCGAGCAAGAAATTTCCTCAATCTTTTGTTCCATTTTGATTTCCCTTTCTTTTATTTTCTTTTCCATATCGATTTCCCTTTGTTGTATCTTCTGTTCTATCTTGATTTCCCTTTCTTCTATCTACATTTCCATTGTTACTCTGTATGCTGGGTTGCCTGTACGTGTCAGTATGATGGGACATTATTTATCTACATGCGTAACTTATTTTTCTGAAACTTATTAATCACAAAAATGTTGGGATATTATGTTTTTGGAATGTTGACATAACCAGTAACATTCATTATCGCATGAATATTTTCATAGTGTTAAGAAATTCATTGTTTTTTTTTTAATTAAAGTCGTTTTATATATACTTGTTATTCGTTAAAAAAAGGTCACATACATTTACCTAATGTTTTAATAATCGTGTAATACGTGCATAATTTATTTTAAAATAAGATTATGAAAGGATGTATTTTGCGGTAAATTATTTCTGACACCATATGCAAATAAAAAACTGTGATTATAAACTATGCTTTCTTAAATCTTGAAACCATTTACTAAAGCGTAATTACGATACAACAGAGACGTTGTTTTTATAAATTTTAATTGCTGCAGTTTATAAAACGACAACTGAATGCTATTATAGTATATTTAGTAGTTAATTTTTATTAGCAAATTAATCGCCAATTGTTAAGCAACTGGTGTTTTATTCGTAGTGTGCAACAGAAACAAGCAAATCAAATATACTGGTAAGCGGTTTTCACGTGCTGAGTTAATGTTTTTCGATTTGTCATAAAACAACCGGATTATTAAAAAGAATATATTTTAAATAATGCATCTAATTATGTAATCATTTTTCTGTTAAAAGATTAGTTTTTTAATTTCGGCTTTTATCTCATCTTTCAATGTTACGTCATTTATTAACAACATGCTTATCAAATTCTGAGGATTAAAATTGATGCTTTAATTCAGTATTTAATTTACTGAAGATTATGTTATCAAGTTTCACGTTACGTTTCACGTTGATTTGCAGGGACAGTAGTTCACTTGGGAATAAATCACCTGTGTACTTAATAGGCACATGCAACAATTAGAATTTTATTAAATAAAAAGTTATTGGAAGTATATAAATTAATAGAAAACCAAAAAAATTGTAAAAATGACAGTGGAATTAAATGTTTTTGGTGCATGGGATTACGTCGTGTTGGTGTTAGTTCTTCTCATCTCGGCATCCATAGGAGTTTACTACAGATTAACAGGTGGAAGGCAAAAAACAAACAGGGTTTGTAACATTATTTTTTTCCCTTTTTTTTATCTATAATACTTTATTTTAAGTTGTTAAACTTTTATTTTATTACTGTTATTTTTTACCATTTATATGTAATTCCGCAAGATAATTTCAACGAATGTATTTGCGGGGTCGAATATTCTCAATCCTGTGGGATCCAGGTATTGGCAGGATCCTGTGAAACGGATCTTGACTTTGCAGGCTAAGCGGCAGCGAGAAAAACCGTCATCAAAGAATAAAAAAAAATAAAACAAATGCGTCATAATTACAAGTTGAAACTGGCAAAAAATCTAGAAATTTACCTGTCGTACCTTTACTGTACAGACAAATTTATTCTTTTTGTATCAATTACCCGTAGTTCGACGACAACCAGTTTTATTAATTCGTGCGTACCCCCTCGCAGAGTGACACGCATAAATTTCGTTTCTTCTCAATCCTGCAAATCCCGCGGGATCCTGTTTCATTGAGCGAGATTAGTTTATTGTATTCCCTAGTAATCCTACTTAACACGTTTCGCAAATATATGTGCGGTCAAAATTTCTTAAATCGAACATCCTAAATGCAACCAATTATGTTCGAGTTAAAGAAAATTTGAGTTAAGGAAAATTCCAGTTTTAACGTCAAACTTTAATTTTCTTTTCGAAGATATAACTGGGATGATCAAAATTGGCATAGTTCGCAGTAAATTATCTGTGCGAATGGATATACCTTTTTTCTTGTTTTTACTTGGGACTGCAGCCCCAACAAGTAGTACTCAGACCTTTGATGTGCAGTATTCGTTCACTTGCGATATTTTCTTTACCAATCTGATTATTCCACATTTAATGTTTAATTCAAATATTGCTCTTTTTGTTTCTCTAAGAAGCTGAATGCCAAATCGCTTGAAATACGTGACGAACTTTGGCTTTCCTCAAAATTTGCATCCCGGTTTGATGTGATTGTGAGAAGTATTTGCAGATGCTTCCAATTGTCACAAAGAATACTTTAATTGATAAACCATAAATAAATTCGAAAAAGAACACGTGTTTGGAACACGGCGTTGTATGGGTGCGAAACATGGATAGGGGGCGCGTCGAAAAAGAAAAGGTTAGAAGCCTTCGAAATGTGGTATTATAGGCGAATGATGAGGATAACGTGGGTAGAAAAGGTTAGAAATGAAGTGGTATTAGAATGAATAGGAGAACAGAGGACTTTATGGAAGTCAATAAGAAATAGGCGATAGGTTGGTAGGACACCTTCTTAGGCATGAAAGTCTGGTCAGAGACATATTAGAGGCAGAAACTAGAGTTAAGAGGAGTAGAGGTAGACCTAGATTAGATTACTGTTCACAAATAGTTAAGGATGTGGGTTGTTCTAGTTTTAGGGAAATGCGAAATTTAGCTCAGGATAGAGTGGAGGTACGTGTCCAACCAGGCTTAGGACTGACGACCTTATGATGATGATGATGATTACTTTCTACTGCATGGACCGAAAGTAATTTTATTTGATGGTCAAGGCAGAGAACACGAGGTAGAAATGCTACTGATTTCGTAATTAAAATAGCTGCTCAATGGGACCGTGGAGCTTTTCTCCTGGGAAGGAGGATTCGGCAATTTCTCCATTGCTGTTCGCTAAATCCGCCACTAATTCTTAAGTACGATAGGTTTGTTTCGTTTTTTTGGCCATTGCTCTTAGAAATTACTTCCAATTTCCAATGATAATGGTTAAAAAATTTAATAGTTTTCTCTTTTCTCGAGTACACTCTTATATTCATGAGCATTACTATCGTAGATTGAAAAGATGTCAGGTAATTTTTCAAAGGCGTACTCCAATTTCACTTAAAGATTTCCCTAGCATATTAAGTATTTTGAGATATGCGTGTTTGTTTTCTTAAATTCCTGAGAACGTTGAACTTTATTTAAAGTCCGATGCTGGCAACATGCTCAAATTCGGCTTGTCTGCATCTCTTTCTGTTACACATTAGTTGGTGTAATGTTATTCCTTTTTCTTTGTTAGTGTCCGCTGCAATTCCTACCTGACATCTCTTTTCTATGCTTACGATATTCCCTGCAATGTCTGTCGTGAGTACAAGTAGGCGTTCTGTCAGCAATCGTTCTAGTGTAGTTAGTAAGCTGAAAGAAGGAAGTAAAATGCTACAGTTTTTATTGCGGGGTATGCCAATTTTGAACGTCCCAACTGTACTTTCAATTTCGCTCAGATGGTTTTAATAGCATTGTTGGTATTAAAAACTGCGAACTAAATGTTCGTTTGGTTATACATATTGCGAAGAAATATTGGGTCTCGTTCACACATAGTGGGCAGTTCTGACAGAATATATATGTATTGCACCCTTCCTGCTGCTTTTGGTCAGCTGCAGAATATTGCTACAAATTGTGAGGTTCGACAAGTTGATATCTTTATAGAACTTGTCCCAAAATGTAGCAATTTTCTGAAGGTGCAGTTCATTATGTTGTTTGTAGAAATACATATAATCGCAGTTTAAAAAAATTGTTTCAATTTTATTATCAACACTTTGGCTAGGTTGTGGTGTGAATTAGTATTTTTGATTAGTAATTCACATTTCATTTATTCAAATTGTTAAAATACCCTGAACATATAATTTGTAATGCAACTACTCCTTGCATTACAATCCGCCTAACGTTGGCTAGCCCCTTTTGAAACAAGCACTGCTGTTGAAAGTCTAGGCGGAATTGAAAGTAGCGGTTTATTTTAATTGGGCACGATCGACATGTCAGCATTACCCATCTACCATAATAAGGCTATGTATAGGCACATCATTAATTTGTATTATGGGACAATGGGGGGACAATCGTGTCTTATATTGTACAGATAATGAATGAAAAACCGATTTTAGGAATACCTATTGGCAGATGGAAGTATGGCTATCACCCCAGTAGCGATTTCTTTAATGGCTTCTTTTATGTCTGCCATAACCCTTTTAGGAGTGGCCAGTGAAAATTACACTTACGGTGCACAATTTGTAGTTATAAACATATCCTACGGGATTTTTACTGCTCTTGCAGCGTACATGTACTTGCCAGTATTTTTTAGACTTCAAGCAACTAGCGCTTATGAGGTTTGTATAATTGAATCTGCTTGCAACTGGAGTTTTATCCCTTTTTTATTATGAAATAAGTCTATTTACATACGGACTACAAATGGTACTGTATTTGTAGTACCTAATTAAAAAATGATGTTTGTTTTTATGTAGGTATGCAGATTTTTACATATGGCTCATATTTCTAGAAATTTTTTTTTGAAAGAATATGAAAATGTTATTCCAGTATTAGTAATAAATGAATTATTATTTGGGCCTAAAAAAAATAAAATTGTTTTTTCAAGTAGTCACAACAGATAAAGGAAAAATATGCAAATTTTAAGGTAATTATTCTAATTATGTTATCAAGTTTCACGTTACGTTTCACGTTGATTTGCAGGGACAGTAGTTCACTTGGGAATAAATCACCTGTGTACTTAATAGGCACATGCAACAATTAGAATTTTATTAAATAAAAAGTTATTGGAAGTATATAAATTAATAGAAAACCAAAAAAATTGTAAAAATGACAGTGGAATTAAATGTTTTTGGTGCATGGGATTACGTCGTGTTGGTGTTAGTTCTTCTCATCTCGGCATCCATAGGAGTTTACTACAGATTAACAGGTGGAAGGCAAAAAACAAACAGGGTTTGTAACATTATTTTTTTCCCTTTTTTTTATCTATAATACTTTATTTTAAGTTGTTAAACTTTTATTTTATTACTGTTATTTTTTACCATTTATATGTAATTCCGCAAGATAATTTCAACGAATGTATTTGCGGGGTCGAATATTCTCAATCCTGTGGGATCCAGGTATAGGGCAGCGAGAAAAACCGNATACGTAATCCTAAAATGTAGCATCGTGCTACAGATGGCGTGTACTGCGCCATTTGTAGTATTTTCTAAAACGCACTGTTAAGACAGCAGGTAAAAGTTGGTCTGTGTTCTGTCGGAGCTGTCTGCGACGCGCTGATGAGATCCAAAAAGATCGAAATCGTGATCCGCGCCTGGCAGTTTCGACAGAATACAGACCACTTCGAGTTATTTTATACAAACAAATATGATTAATGAAAACATTTATTTGTGTTTAATTTAAATAACAAATACATACATACATACGTATTATCCAAAATTGAAATTTTTATTACATTTATTGGCCAATTGTTAGATAAAGAAATTAAGTATTAAACAAAATTTTATAATATTAGAAAGAATAGGAGACCAAAGAAGTCAATAAGAAGTATGTGAGATAGGTTGGTAGGACACTTTCTCAGGCATGAAAGGCTAGTCAATCAAAGACATATTAGAAGCAGAAACAAGAGTAGAAGTATACCTAGATTAGATTACTGTTCATAAGTAGTTAAGGATGTGAGATGTTCTAAGAGTAAATCTTTATATATATATATATACCTACCCCAAAGTCCAAATGGTGCCAGGATTTCTGGGAAGTTCAAATCGGTCTAAATAAACTGCAGCATTTGGGAATGCTGTCCATTAAATTGTTTGCAATCACGCACTTTAAATAACGTAAGGGAATATCGTTTGAAAAATTAATTCGTTTTAGATTTGTGATGAAAAATTCAAAGTATTAATGTATTCCAGTGGTAACCTTAAATTCCAAAATATCTTATCCTAGATTTCTTAAATTCTCGTGCATTAAAAAACCGAATAACTCTTTTGTTTCTAGAAATCGTTTACGCGTTCTTGCAATTCGTTACTCATTAAAAACTTCGTAGTAACTCATTCTGTGTTTTTCATGTGTTTGTAATAGTTAATCAGTAAACTTTTGTCAAAGATTTTCTTTATTTTGTTGGTACATTTTTTGCTTTTGTACATGTCTTTCTTTCTCAAGTCTTTCAATTTCTTCAATTCTGTTGAAATGCGTCAGTGAACCATAATCAAATCGAGTCCTTAGAACTTACATACATAGTATTGATTACGCTGAGAACTGAATGTTACCATAACAAGCTGAGGAAAATAACCAATTCGTACAGATTAGATTACTGTTTATAAATAGTTGAGGACGTGGGATGTTCTAGTTTTAGGGAAATGCGAAGATTCGCTCAGGATAGGAAAGAGCGGAGGTGAGTGTCCAACCAGTCTTAAGATTGACGGCCCTATGATGATAATAAAAAAATAGTGTTGTTTATAAAATTAAAAAATATTTCCAAAATTTGAGCCAATTTGAATTTACCTACATAAGAAAAGAATCAGTGCATCACCTAATGTCTGGATAATTAGCATCTTGCTGCAGTCCAAAATAATCCGTTCATGCATCATTTATTTGTCTAGTGTTTCGAACTATCAATATCATTATCATAGATGTAAAAAAATGGTTACGATGTAGGTATTTGAAATAGGAAACACAAAACATAAAACGATTTCGTATTTGAAATACAATAAAATAAAATGCTTTGAAATTGGCGAATTTTCGGTATGTATTAGGAAGTCAGATAATTCAGGATGGAAGGAGCAATAGAGGTATATAACAGAGGGTAGCACAGGGTGGAGTCGCCTTTAATAAAAAGAAGTCACTTCTATGCTCGCGAATGGTTAATTTAGAAATTCGAACAAGATTGTTAAAGGTGTATGTTTGGAGCACGGCGCTGTACGGGTGCGAAACATGGACAGTGGGCGCGGCAGAAAAGAAAATGTTAGCAACGTTCGAAATGTGGTGTTACAGGCGAATGATGAGGATACCCTGGATAGACAAGGTTAGAAATGAAAAGGTGGGAGAACACAGGCTGCTATGAAAGTTAACAAGAAATAGGCGAGATAGATAGGTAGGACATTTTCTAAGGCATGAAGGGCTGGTAGGAAACATTAAAAACAGAAATAGGAGTTAAAAGGAGTAGAGGTAGACCTAGATTAGATTATTATTCACAAGTAGTTAACAATGTGGGATGTTCTAGTTTTCGGAAAATGCGTATCCAACCAGTTTGATGATGACGATGATAGGTAATATGTAAATAGTAGCAACAGTTCAGGTAAAATAAAAATTGATAATAGCTATGTTGCGAGATATCGCGTTATTCATTCATTAAGAGGTTATTTAACTTGATTCGACTACAATGGAAATTAAGCCATTGTAGTTTGCATTTTGTAGACTAAATTTAAATACAGACAGAAGTTATTATTTAGAGAAACGAGTTAAACATAGATAATTGAAATAGAAATTGTGCATTTTGTATTTGTGCTTTAAGTAGAGCTATTTTAAGGAATTCAATTTCTGATCAACATTATGAGCTCTACTGTGTGAATGTTTAAGTAATCCTCACAAGATCTGGCTAAACTTTATGCTCGGATTATCCAGACATTACTGTGTTTGTTTCCTTTATAATAAATAATTAAAAATATGATTGAAAATGGGATAAATTGAATTGAGCTGGGAGCAGATTTTTACCTTCTGACTTAATTACTTGAGTGGATACTAGATTTTTCATTTGTAGTACTTAGAAAAACGATTTGGAAAAACAGCAAGATTATCAGCATCTATATGTTATACTTTACAAATGGTTATATATATGGGTATTGTTCTTTATGCTCCAGCTCTTGCTTTGGAAGCATTGACTGGGATTAGTATCACCGCTGCGATCTTATCAGTTGGTAAGTTCGAAATAATTTTTGCGATATCTACACCAAATTATTCATTTCTCTTGTGAATCCGAAACTGTAGGTAACACGTATAACATAGGGTGGGCGCAGTATAAAGACTGTAAACCAAGGTCGGTCAAACTCCGCTCCTAACGCTCCTAGGTGCTCCTGCAAGAGCAAATGAGAGATTCTTTTTTCTCTTGATCTAAAAGAGACAGGTGTAGTGCCACAGGCATACTGTCGAACGATACCTGTCTTTCTTTCTCCATAACCAGAACCAGAAGGTTATGGTAGTACCAAAAGGTTATGGTTATGGAGAAGGTTTGGTTACGGAGGAAGAGAGACAGGTGTCGCTCGTTTGCATCTGTCTCGGTTGCGAATAATGTAGTTGCTCCTAAGAAGTCAAAGTTTGGCCGGCTCTGTTCTATACAACAGAGCTGGGCAAACTTTGACTCTTAGGAGCCGCTATCTGAGGTTAGCTTGGCTCACTCCATACCCTTCAATGAGTACGAGAGAGTAAGCAATAGTAACCCATATTGCTTTGTCTTTTTCTTCTCTCTTCTATTCCCATAGCAAGCCCCTTCATCCCGTAGGAATGCGAAGTCCCTCTCGCAACTTAAATAGTACTTACTTACGAAAATATTCTAATGATCGTCCTACAGCTCAGGGGTAGCGTGCCGGTTTACGGTCGCAATACTATTGGGCTCGGTTACGGAAGAACTTACCTACGAAATAGAAGGGATAAGCAAAGGAAACAATCATCTCACTCGTACTCATAGGAGCAATGAGGAGTTTCTCGGCTATACCTGAGGAGCATCCGGGAATCAAAAAAGCCGCGTTTGCCCGGCTCTGTTATATATTACAGAGCCGGGCAAACTTTAAGTTCGTAGGAGCCGCTACCTGAGGTTACTTTGGGTCACTCCATACACTTCAATGAGTACGAGAGAGTAAGCAGTAATGATTCATATTGCTTTCTCTTTTTCTTCTCCCTTCCACTCCCATATCAAGCCACTTCATCCCTTAGACGAGCGAAGCCTCTCTCGCAACTTAAGCAATACCTACAAAAATTTTCTAATGATCGTCCCGCAGCTCAGGGGTAGCATGCCGGACTACGGTCGCAATACTATTGGGTTTGGCTATGAAAGAGGGGACACGCCTACGAAATGGAAGGGATGAGAAAAGGAAAGAATCATCTCACTGGCAGGAGCAGGAGCAATGAGGAGCTCCTTGGCTACATCTGAGGAGCACTCGGGAGTCAAAAGAGCCGAGTTTGCCCGGCTCTGATATAGTAGGTTCACTCCTTTGATCTGTCTAAAATACCGACATTATTTGTAGTCCATCACAAATTAACTTTATATGCGCTGAACTGTTACATATGATATATATTTGTACTATGGCTTCTCATGACGCTCTGTACAAGCCAGCCCCTGCTTAGTGGGGAACTCGTAGATGAAGTGGTGAGAAGTATGAGAGTGGCTGGGATGTGAACCTACTGTATATGTATAGAATCTCTATATTGTGGTGTGGATGTCCGCCATACATACATATTTGTATTACCTACAATATCTTGTGTAACTTAATTGCGCTTTGTCTATTTTATTACTTCCCTTTTACTTTTCGTAAATGCTGCTTCCCTTCTTCTTATTTTTCGTAAAGACGTGAATTTGTCGTTATATGAATAATTTATAGATACCTACTGTACTTTTACGGAATTTAGTCGCAAAAGAACTTGTTGAAAGCCCGCTATGAAATGATCTACAAAAATTTTGGATCATTGAGGGTACGTAATTTATTATCTTAAACATGTCAAAATAATGACTTTAAATTTACTGTTACTTGGAAGATTTTTTGAAGGTTGCTTTAAAAATCTAGAATTCAATTACAAATGACAAAATATATTTTTTAATTTTTCAGTCCGACACGTGGCAATCGTTGGTTTCACGAGGACTAAAACTTTATTAATAACTGTTATATAAAAAACATAAAAAATGAAACGAAAGGATTATTTTTCAATAATTTATGTGATTAACCAATAAATGATATTGTATAAGTAAGGCAAAAATTTCACTGAAGAACATAGAAATTATGTATTTCTCTTTGAAAATGTATAATTTGCTGAACGCGTTAAAGATATTTTTTCAGTCACGTCTATCTGAAAATATAAGCTGCTTTGCTTGAAAACTGCCCTAAACTAACCGAATTCTTTAAGCGTAATATGCCTCAAAAACTTAAATTTACATTATTTTACTATTTATCAATAGACGGCTGAAGATATTTGTACGAATTTTCAAAAGATAATGCCACTTTTGGTTCTCAATTTGCCACTGGTGTACGAGGGTGGATTGATAAGTTTCCGGCCTAACCAAGAGATGACGCCACTAGGCCTACCTTGAGGTGACATTCTATAGTACCATCCTTGGATAGCTTGTAGCTATAGTTTCAGCCCGATCTCCTTGCTAGTGTAGGTTTGACAGCACGCTGAACAAGACGCCTCTGTGGTTTTCGTAAAAATGGAAAAGCAGGAAAATCGTGCTGTCATCAAATACTTTTATTTGAAGGGGTTAACGCCGAAGGAAATTAAAAAAGAGATGGACTCAACACTGGGGACATCCTCCCCGTCATATTCAACCGTTAAGCAGTGGGTTTCCGAGTTTAAAAAGGGTCGTGTGAGCACCTCTGATGGGCCTCGCTCAGGACGCCCCGTTGAGGTCACAACTCCAGATATGATCGAAAAAATTCATCAAATAGTGCTGGGAGACCGCAGATTGAAAGTGCGTGAGATAGCTGAGACCTGTAAGATGTCATATGAACGTGTGCAACATATTTTGCACCAACATTTGCATATGGAAAAGCTCTGTGCAAGATGGGTGCCGCGTTTGCTAACAGTCGACCAAAAATTGATTCGAAAAAACATTTCTACCGCAAATTTGTCATTGTATAAGCGTAATCCAAGCGAATTTTTGCGTCGATTCGTAACCGTTGACGAAACGTGGGTCCACCACTACACTCCTGAAACCAAAGAACAGTCTAAACAGTGGATTGGACCAGGGGAACCAACTCCAAAGAAGGCAAAAACAATTTTTTCGGCGAACAAGGTTATGGCTACTGTTTTTTGGGATGCAAGAGGTATTATATACATTGATTACCTTGCAAAGGGTAATACTATCACTGGTCAATACTACGCAGACTTATTGCAACGTTTGAGCCACGAGGTGAAAATTAAACGACCTCATCTGGCGAAGAAAAAAATCTTGTTTCATCACGATAACGCACCAGCGCACACGTCAATCGTTGCGACGGCTAAAATCAACGATCTAAAGTTTGAATTGATGCCGCACCCTCCTTACTCTCCAGACCTAGCCCCGAGTGACTATTTTCTGTTCCCTAATCTCAAAAAATGGCTTGGCGGTAAGAGATTTGCGGACAATGAAGAAGTAATCGAAGCTGTAAATGGTTATTTTGAGGAGCTTGACGAATCAGTCTATAGAGATGGCATTAATAGACTGGAACACCGCTATGAGAAATGTATCAGCCTTGGAGGAGATTATGTTGAGAAATAAAAAAAAAAAATTTTTAAAAACCTTGTTTTTCTTGGTCAGGCCGGAAACTTATCAATCCACCCTCGTATGGTTACGGGTGCTTTACATTCTGTATTAAAAGTTTAAGACAAGGCGGGTGATTCTGTTCATTTTTATTGCATCATATGACTTATACATTTGTATACTTTCGTTGAGTAGTAGATAGAATAAAAACAGACAATTAAAAAAAATTTTATCAATGAGTGTTGATCAAATCTTCATAAGAACGATGATTTCCACACGTCGGATTTAAAAATAGGAAAATATATTTTGTCGGACAAAACGGTACAACAAAAGGACTGGTATGCAACAGAAGAAAAGTAGGGAAAGGGAGAATATAAAGATAGGAGACGAAAAAATTAGAAGTGGTTGATGCAGGGTTCTGTACGGGTGGGGAAAGTGCACGGTGGAAACAGAGTTAGAAGTATTCGGAATGTGGTGTTACAAGCAAATGAGGATACCGAGGATAGAGAAGGTTAAAAATGAAGAGTTGTTAGAAAGAAAAGGAGAACACAGGGTGCAATAAAGTCGATAATAAATTGGCGAGATATGCTGGTAGGACACCTTCTCAGGCATGAAGGGCTGTAGTTAGAGACATATCGGACAAACTTATGAAACACCTCACACCTGGAAGAATCCAAGATAGCGGCTTATGAAGCAATTTTGATAATATATAGGCTCGGGGTTAAGGTCTCCATTAAATGCCCTGTCGAATGAGGAACAGAACAGAACAACAAATTTTTGAGTTACACCTATAAAATTTTCCTAGATTTACTGGACTTTGTTGGAAAATTGACGGACAATATTTTTGATGTTCTTTTAAGCATTCATCTAAAAGCAGCTTATCATCAGTAAATCTTTTTGAGTCGTTATTTTGGTATAATGAAGGTGGTAGATACCCTTGGTGATCGAAATTTTGTCTTATCATCATCAACTTGAAATAACTTTTCGATTTTGACCGACTACAAATTTCTTCAAATCAATGAGGAAAATATTTTTGTTGCTTGTTGTTTGAGAAAATTTGTAGTAGGTCAAAATCGAAAAGTGATTTCATGTTGATGTTGCATATTAACATTGACCACTATTAGTAATTTAAAACAATGTCTTAAAATTTTTGTCGAACAATTTTTTCCTCGCGAGATGCAAAAGTACAGCGCCTTCAAAATGCATGTCTTTCGGAAAGATGGAATGAGAAAGTCGCGACTTCGAAAATTTTCGTGAAGGAAAAGAAGTGTAATTAAGCTACACAAGAAGATATAAGAAAACATTTATAATTGCACTTTATGTCCGCGGGTACCATCACCAACAGAAAGGGTCGCTTAAAATTTTGATCTTTTAGGCATAGTTTGCACATTTTATTCGTCAATTGGAGGTATGAAAGCGGTGCTAATGACCGATGTGTTTCAATCGATTCTAATGTTTGTTGCTGTTTTTAATGTTATTATCGGAGAATGGGTGAGAACTGGGAGCCTTGGAGAAATTTGGAGGAGGGCGGTAGAAGGTGGAAGAATCAACATGTGGAAGTACGTATTTTAATTTAAGTGTTGAAGGAGATTCAAAAACTTCTCAAAGTCCTTATACTTACAACATACTGAAAATTGTTTCAAACAATACTTGTTGCTCCCTGTTTCAATAGTCGAATTTTTACTGTTCAGGTTGTACAGAAAATAAGAAAAAGAAAGAAGAAGAAATATTAAAGTAATTCAAACATTTGAGTATCGCCGCTACCTTTGGCATTGCTGTATTTTTGGGCATTATGGGCACAATTTTTCTATATTTTCTTTTGACTGGGCTCATAATGTCACAATTAACAATGCTACCATTTAAACGAAACATTTTTTTTCTTTTTAACTTTTGAACATCCTGAATATTAAGTTAACTGTTAACTGATTAATATTTTTAATTACGGCTTGTTTCTGCAATCATATTGTATTTTCCGTATCTATACAAGATAAAAGTTTTAACTGCAGACGATGCAATAAAGGTAAGTACACATGTGTAAATTTTTTCCTTTAATTTTTTTAACCTTTAAATCGTAAAATTTGTAATGATAAGCAGTAATGAAATTTAAAAGATATTTTATCGTTTATTTACTGAATTACCTAATAATCATAAAGAATATGTCAAATGGTTTTAAAGAAGTGATAGTAGATTAAAGCATTGGTAAAATTTTTTTAATTACTTTTGGTTTTGATGTAGAATTATTTTAAATAAGAAATCGTGTAATATTCGATCAACGTATTTCATATAACGTAAGAAAAAACTATTGCATCAGTCGGGAATTGAACCAGGGCTAGCCGTGTATATGCTCGCCTGCCAGGCGACTTGATTTCGGGTCGATATAATGCCGTTTTTTTTTTTATCTGTCTTAACGGCAACATACACAAATCACAAAACATCGCCACCCGTCCATTCTCCATCTCCATCCTTGGCTGTATAATGCGACACATGGTTACAATCAAAAACCGAATGAATCTGTAGGTTCATGTCATTCCTAAGTACCTATACTTTTCACTCCCGCTTTTTATCATTAATGCCGAAAAAACGTACGACAAACTTCGACGTTTACGTATTGACATGATGATTTGAGACAGATTTTCTTTTACAGTTTTAATCCAGATCCTACGGTTCGACATACGTGGTTTTCATTAATTATAGGTGGCGGTGTAACGTTCCTTAGCCTTTACGGTGTAAACCAAACTCAGATACAAAGATATTTAACACTAAAAAGTTTAAATAGAGCTCAAAAAGCCTTGTGGCTTAATTGGCCAATTCTGACGGCCCTTAGTTTGTCTACTTCTTTCGCTGGCCTCTGTATTTATTCTAGATATTACAATTGCGATCCCGTAACTGCTGGTTACCTGTCACGTTCAGATCAGGTAAGTTGAAAAAATATATAAAATAAAGTGATATCCCTATTTATAGGGCATTGGTAAATTCGGCCGGTCATTACGACAGATAGAAGAATTCATTAAGTCAAAATGTAAATTCGGTCGCTCCGTTCAAATTTACCGAAAATTGACTGTCTTTCGGCTGGAAAAATTGTTTCTATATGTTTATTATTTATTGGAGAGCACAATTACTGTCTACATATTGCTTTAAGTATTTAGTTATTCAAAAAAAGCAATTAACTAATTAAGAGACTACCTACCCCTCCCACAAGGGGTTGTTATCTATTATATGTATACTAATATTATAAGACAGTATGTAACAACATTCTAATCATCCGCGTTTGGTACTTAAGATGTTGTTTTTATTTTCTGCGTCTATTTACCACAAACCCACCGAATTTACATTTTATTTTCTAGGACTACCAAACGTTTCTGGCTGAATTTACCGCTGTAATTAACAAAAACTCAATTAATCGGTCGAATTTACAATCGCCGTATTTATAGTGAATTATGAATTATGTTTGTAAAAAAACTATGAATGCAAAAAGTGCTTTTTAATTTACATTGTGGATTGTAAGTAGGTACAAAGCAATCGAGGAGTGTAAGGTTTTTTCTTAAATAATAATTATTAAACTAATAAATTATAATGATATGCTTTGCTTTGGGACAAATTTGCGAAAAATACATAAGAAGTGTAACTGAGTGACACAAATAACCGTAAACATAAAATACTTATTGTAAGAATACTACCTAATACAGAAAATTCTAAACAAATACAATTAAAATCATAAATAGAATAATTTAGTAGGTAATTCCTAAAATCATAAATTATATAATATTAT